AAAGTCTTCGACAAGAGGTGCAGTGGTGCTGGCACACCTAAAAGTGGAGCACCCACAGAGACTATAATCTCAAAGAACTCCAATTACTGTACCAGGTGAGTAACCTTCCCATATTGAACCAATCCCATGCAAAGATGGTGTTAGCCACGAGTGAATGTGCAGGGGGTTTAAAGAGCCCTGGAAGAAGAGGAATTGAGACAGACCTTTGCAGAATCACACTTCAGGCAGGCATGGCCTCTTACAGAGATCACTGACCAAAAGCATAGCATGCTGGAGTCTGACCCAGCTAGTAAGGGTTTAAAATCCTGCTGGTCCAAAAACAACTGATTTGAATATTTAAAAGAACCATCTTCCTTAAGAAAAAAATGCTTCTAGCAGTGTTCAGACCTGATATTCCACTGAAAGAAGCTTCTAAGGTGATTGAGTAGCTTCAAAGCTACATCATCTTAAAAGCCAGAATGCCATCTTACTGGCACTTAGCTGATTAAAGTTCACCAGTTGAAGCTAAAGTTATGTCTTATGTGTAGGAAAAACTAGTTGATATCAATCTTTGTTTGATGTCTGAAATGTCCCATCAGGTTTAGTTGTGTCAATAACTTCTTGCTCTTTTTTGAGTGATATTCTCTATTGTATTCCACTTTGGGTTACACATGCACTCAGAATGAGAGAATAGGAAAGCAGTGTCTGTTGGTCTGCACATGCACCCTTACTCATCTCATGCTTCTGTTCGAGGCGATAAAAGGGAGGATAGATTGACCACATCACCAGTTGATTCTCACCATCACATAGTCTGGGTTGGAACTTCCAGTCTCCTCATTTCTGATGCAGCTCTAATGCCTTTAATTGTAGTTTTAACAGTTCAGAATAGAGGCCAGTGACTTCTCCGTCTCTCCACACCTCATCCAAGTACCAGATTATGCCCAGAATTTCAAACTGAGCCTCCTGCCCATGATCATTCTTGGTCATCAATGACCACTAGTGCTGTCTCTGCAGCCTGGAAGATGCTCTCACTGTAGGTAGTGTTTCCATTTTTCTTCAGCTGTACCCATAAGAACGGCTGTACTGGGGTCAGACCAAAGGTCCATCTAGCCCAGAAGCCTGTCTGCTGACAGTGGCCAGCATCAGGTGCCCCAGAGAGAGTGGACCAAAGCCAATGATCAAGCGATTTGTCTCCTGCCATCCTTTCCCAGCCTCTAAAAAACAGAGGCCAAGGACACCATTTCTATCCCCTGGCTAGTAGCCTTTTATGGACCTAACCTCCATGAAATTATCTAGCTTCTCTTTAAACTCTGTTATAGTCCTAGCCTTTACAGCCTTCTCTGGAAAGGAGTTCTACAGGTTGACTACATGCTGTGTGAAGAAGAACTTTCTTTTATTAGTTTTAAACCTGCTCCCCATTAATTTCATTTGGTGTCCTCTAGTTCTTCTATTTAGGGAACTAATAAATAACTTTTCTTTATCGGCCCTCTCCACACCACTCATGATTTTATAGACCTCTGTCAAATCCCCCCTCGGTCTCCTCTTCTCCAAACTGAAAAGTCCCAGTCGCTTTAACCTCTCCTCATATGGGACCCGTTCCAAACCCCTAATCATTTTAGCTGCCCTTTTCTGAACCCTTTCCAAGGCCAAAATATATTTTTTGAGGTGAGGAGACCACATCTGTACACAATATTCAAGATGTGGGCGTACCATAGTTTTATACAGGGGAAGTAAGATATTCTGGGTCTTATTTTCTATCCTTTTCTTAATAATTCCTAGCATCCTATTTGCCTTTTTGACTGCCGCTGCACACCGTGTGGAAGTTTTCAGAAAACTGTCCACGATAACTCCAAGATCTCTTTCCTGATTTGTTGTAGCCAAATTATCCCCCATCATACTGTACGTATAGTTGGGGTTATTTTTCCCAATGTGCATTACTTTACACTTATCCACATTAAATTTAATTTGCCATTTTGCTGCCCAATCACTGAGTTTGGTGAGATCTTTTTGGAGTCCCTCACAGTCTGCTTCTGTCTTGACTATCCTAAACAGTTTGGTATCATCCACAAACTTTACCACCTCACTGCTTACCCCTTTCTCCAGATCATTTATGAATAAGTTGAAAAGGATTGGTCCCAGGACTGACCCTTGGGGGACACCACTAGTTACCCCTCTCCAATCTGAAAATTTACCATTTATTCCTACCCTTTGTTTCCTGTCTTTTAACCAGTTCTCAATCCAAGAAAGGACCTTCCCTCTTATCCCATGGCCATGTAATTTACACAAGAGCCTTTGGTGAGGGACCTTGTCAAAGGCTTTCTGAAAATCCAAGTATACTATATCTACTGGATCCCCCTTGTCCGCATGTTTGTTAACCCCTTCAAAGAACTCCAATAGATTAGTAAGACAGGATTTCCCTTTACAGAAACCATGTTGACTTTTGTCCAACAAATTATGTTCTTCTACATGCCTAACAATTTTATTCTTAAGTATTGGTATCATCTGCAAACTTTACCACCTCACTGCTTACCCCTTTCTCCAGATCATTTATGAATAAGTTGAAAAGGATTGGTCCCAGGACTGACCCTTGGGGGACACCACTAGTTACCCCTCCCCCATCTGAAAATTTACCATTTATTCCTACCCTTTGTTTCCTGTCTTTTAACCAGTTCTCAATCCATGAAAGGACCATCCCTCTTATCCCATGGCCATGGAACTTACACAAGAGCCTGTGGTGCAGGGTCTGTCACCCTTTCTCCGGTATGCTATATACCTCAGCACTGCAAGCCATTTTCTCTAACAGTACAAAAGACTCCATTAGACAACATTACTAGGCAAAGTGTGAAAGTGTTTTTCTTCTTTGGCACAGCATAAAGATGGTGATTCCAAAAGCTGCTGAGATTCCCCTAATCCTGGGCTACATTCTAATCTGCTTCTTACTCTCAGCTGCTTGTAAGTCTGCCTAGTGGCAGTTGATGTGCTCCATCCTCCAACAGACGGTTACTCCATTTTTACACACCCACTGCCTGACAGATTTTTGGAAAGGCCTCCTCCGAACCTTCCCACTCTGCAAATTATCACACCTCAGTGGAACTTGAATCTGGCATTTTCATTATTAACAACCCACCCCTTTGAACCAGTGGCATCCTGCTTAATGTTCCTCCTCTCCATGAAGGTCACCTGTCTTTGTGCTATCACTTTACTGAGAAGGGTTGATGAACTTAAAAGTATGATGACAGACCTGCTATGTATAGTATTCCATAAGGTCAACCTTAACCTACACCTGACATTTTATTTTCACCAAAAGTGGTCTCTCATTTTTGTATTAACCAATACATTCATCTATTTGTTTTATGCCCACAACCCACAAATGCTGTCTCCCTTCACCATCTGATAGGCTTTGACCTTTTACTTACAGAGAACAAAAATAGTCAAGAAGTCCCCTAGACTGTTTGTTGGGGTAGCAGGAAGAATCGTGGGACAGGCCATCTGCAGATGGATTTCCAGCCGCATTAAGTTTTACTATCAGCTGTAGAATCTACTTTCTCCCATGAGGGTACAAACTCACTCCACTAGAGCTGAAGGAACAACCACAGCATCCCTTGAGGATGTCTCACAGACATATTTAGAGCAGCCACGTGGGGTTCTGTCCACACATTTTCCACACACTCCACGTTGATGAAGGACTTGGTGGCAGATGCTCCATTGGCATGGTGGTTCTCCACATGATCCTACAGTCCTCAAGCTCCTCTTACTTAGGTACTACTTGTCAGTCATCCGCCATTGGGTCATCACCTGAAGAGGAGATTACTTACCTCTAACTGAGCTTCTTTGAGATGTGTGGTGTCCATCTGTTTTCCACTTTCCACCCTCCTTCCCCTCTACTAACGCTCACGTTGGAGAAGGAACTGGAGATATAATCTGCTCTGCCCTTTGTCACCTCAGACAAAAGCACGAGGCAAATAGGCTTGTGTGCATGGACCCACAGGCACGACTTTAAAATGCTTACTCCAAATGCCTGATTCCACAGTGGGATACAGGTACATCTACAAGAATCTCCAGTTACAGGTAAGTAACTTCCTCCTCCCAAACCATGGTAGATGAGTAGTTAGTAAATCTTTACCTTTGGGAGTGAGCTTCCTCCTCATAGAGCTGGTAAAATAATGTGTTGGTCAGTTTATAAAATGAGTGTTACTGGCAGAAAACATTACTGGAGTAGTTCCTTGAGTCCCTAAAAGACATCCGGGCCCCGTTGTGCTAGGCCTTGTATAAACATATGGTGAGCCTGGGCCTGCCCCAAATTAATTACAGTGTAAATGGACAATACAGATCAACCATGGGAGGGGGAGCGGAAGCAGAAGCATGTAGAAGTGAGGTGACTTGCCCTCAGTCACACAGCAGGTCAGTAGCAGTTTCAGGAATGAAACCCAGATCTCCTGATTCCCAGTCTAATACTCTCTGTTGGACCAAGTGGCCCCAATGCTGAGAAGTGGTAGATGAACTTAAAGTATTAATTTCTAGATTAAGGAAATCAAACGTATTAAATGAGGGTCAAGTTCCACTGAACTATGGAGTCTAATTTTGAGCAGGCTGCAGTTACAATAATAGACATTTATTGAAAAAATGTATATTCTATGTTCCTCAAATATGGGGGAGGTATATGATCTGCAAATAGTTATGGCGTGAAGAACCTTAAGATGATTTGAAACAGAAGAATAGCCACACTGGGTCAGACCAAAAGTCCATCTGATTCAGTATCCTGTCTTCTGACAGTGTCCAATGCCAGGTACTTCAGAGGGAATAAACAGAACAGGTAACCATCAAGATCTATCCTGTTGCCCATTCCCAGCCTCTGACTTGGGTGTTTTGATAAAGAGCTGGTATTTTTGTTTGTTTGTTTCTGGTGTCTTTAATAAATAGTTTATTCATCAGCAGAGTTTAGGGAGGAATTTTTCATGACTGGGTGGTCAAAACACTGTAACAAGTTTCCTTCTCTCCCTCTTTCTCCTCTCCTCCTCCAGATGCAGTCAGACTACTTTTTGCCAAAACCAAGGAGATTGCGGAACAGGCACCTGCGGAAGCCATTAGTGGTACAGGTCAGAGAAATTGTCTTGAGTTTGGAATTTGTTTGCTTGCTGAGTAAACAATCAGTGAATTTGATAGACTATTTTTTTCTAAAAATTCTAGCTTCATCCCTCATGTCCTCTGGGGAAATAAAACAGAAGGGTCGTAGAACAAGAATTCTTCAAGTCACGTCCCTCTGGGTACTCCACTGTTGGTGTATGTGCATCCCTGTTTCTGCTTGGAGATCATTGGTATCGTGTCCTGTCTCCTCAGTAGTGCTGCTGCACAAGCCTGCCTTCCTACCTACCTACCCGTCCCGGCTAAAGATGCAGTATTTAGCCGTCCGTTTACAGATATTACAGATCTTTAGAAAGCCTTTATCGGAGTCATTTTTAGGCTGTGTCTGCACTGTATACCGTCTGCTATGTTTACCTTATGCGGTTTGTCAGATGTTGATGGATGTTTGAGTGTTCTCCCTTACACCATCCCAGCTCTACGTAAGGAGCTGGTACAGCAGACCTCGAGTGAACTGCCGAATGAGACTGTTGGAACAGAATCTGGACACTGTGTATGAAGCAGGCAGGAGGGTTTATCTCACACACACTGGTGGAGTGTCACTTTGCTTGTTAGGCTTGGTGAACACTGCCAGACAATAGGTTACAATGGATTATATAAGATGCTGATGGGCGGATGAAGTGTGTGTGGGAGGGGCGGGGGGGATCCTGGACCCCATGGATAGGTGCTAACCGTGAGGCAAAATAAAAGCGATCTAAAGGTTACATAGTGTATTCCGCTTACAGAATACCTTATATCAAGTTAAACAAGTACTTAAACAAAGCAGACATCAGTTGTTAATTATGTGTTAAGTGGTGATATGTCTGTTAGTGTCAGGAAGGTATCTTTGCATGGATGTGATCCATTGATGTTGCACCTAGAGGATAAAGCACAGGCAGTAAGGGTACATGATAATTGCGCATTTGTTCTTAGCATCATTGACTGTGTTATGTCCTGTCCCCTCACTCTTAGGGCCTTTCTCTGGGATGTAATTATCGAGGTAGTTATCTTTATGATGACCTTCCTCCGATGGGCTAAGTGGGGGGGAGGGAGGTAACTTTCATGTACTGTGCCTTTGGTATAGGTGTTTGTGTGCCTGTTCCAGACTTGAAATTTAGAATAGGGGTTCTTAACAGAATATAATAGCCTGCCTCAGAAATTTTTACCCAATATGACCACAAGACTTGGTTTAGTAGCAAAGATGCCCGCCAGGGTTATTGTTAATGAAGCACGGTACTAGTATCCTGCAGACTTTAGTGGACCTCTAACACGTGTGTTCATAACAGTGGACACAGCTTAATCACTGGTGGGTCTTTCCACTGCCCCCTATGCTGGACAAAGACACTCCCATTTGGCTTCTCAAAGTCTCCTCTATTCCTTCATGCATAAATTGGTGCTCTACATTAATTAATTCTTATATTTCCCTTTTTCCTGGAGTGTGTTTAGAATAGCTAGTTGTATCAACTGGCGAATGAGAAGTACTTTTGTTGGCCTGCTTTCTCTGGCTCCTGGTAATAAGGGCTATCTCATATTGTCGTGCTCAATTGTTCCAGGTGGTTTTGGCACCTGATCCTTTGCTATGTGCTTTTACGTGTCGCATTTTCAATTGCTTACAGCTGTTTGCATCCCACATATAGATAGGTAGTGTCTTTTCCATCAGCTGCTTTCCATTCATTTCTTTGCCATTCATACATACATATTTCACACACACATCGTTATCAGCATCTCTCTATAACTATCTGTGTGTGTGTACGTGTGTGTGTTTACGTGTGTGTACACATACATATTCATGTGTCTGGGGAAGCCTTTGTACTCATTTAGGTCCATGTTGTATAGGGTGAACCTCAGCATGCTGTGCTGACTCATGATCCAGAGACCCCTGGATTAACCTCTTCCTCCAGGTTAATGACTGTGTATTTAATAACCAGTTTGCCTTTTATTACCATGGAGCTACTGTCAGTAAACAAAATATGCTTGGGGTTTTTTTTGGGGGGGGGGGAGGTGCTTGCACTAAAGCAATCCTTTGTTCCAGAGTGACTTTTGGGCACTCACGTTACTTTCCCATTTTTTAATTAAAACATACATCAGCATGTCAGGTGTGGGCACTGTCTCAGCAGTGACTTCCCTATTAACTAGAATGGGGGGAGGGTTTCCACTGGGCCATACTGGTATTGGAAATCTTGCCTCCCAGCATTTTCCCTGACAAAATATATTTAAGGTGAGTGTAAGTACTTTGGATAGCAAAAGCTGCAGCAACTTGGACATCTCCTCATATGTTCACAGAACACTGCGATTACTGGAGACTCTTGCTGACACCATCTTTGGCTTCATATTGTCCATAACAAGCTCTACTACAGAGCCTCAGCCTCCCCTGGGGATACTGCTCAGGTGTCACTTAGAGTGGAATATCCATAGGGACACTTGAGGAGAAAGTTTCTCACCTTGTGCAGTAATTATGGTTCTTTGCAATGTGTGTCCCTATGGGTGCTCAGCAACCTGCTCTCCTCCCCTCTGCTTTTGGAATAGAGAAGGACCTCAGGGGGTTCATCTGCACAGTGCTAATTAGCCTTAAGGCAGAGCATGAGGGGAGAGTGCACGTGCAGACCAAACAGACACTGATAACAAGAATCTCTGATTAGAAGCATAGGGGCACATACATACCTACAGTAGAGCACCTCTAAGGGGATACATCTTGAAGAACCATCATTACTGCACAAGATAAGTAACTTTCTCATTTGGCCTCCTAAATAACCAGACTAGTTACATTCCTGCAACAGCAACTGCAGTAACAATATAGTGAGTGTACAGTATAGTGAAGCCACATGGAAGGGAGGTTGGGAAAGCAAAAATATTGTCTGGAAGAAAATTTGGAACAAATGAAATATCCTAGCTGGAATTCTGCTTTGTACCTGCAGACTTGGATCTTTTGTGTACATTTGGAATTCTGATGTCTCATTCCTTTTTGCAACAAGATTTTCAGTTTGTCTTCTCACTGACTGTTTTTGAAATGTCTACAGAATCAGGAGAGGCAATTTAGACCAATATAAAAACAAATTAGTTCAAAGGAGTTGCTAATTTAAAAATGAAGGTTGGGATTTACAGTGGGGCCGAAAGGTTCAAGGTGTCCCGCTCCTTCCAAATTTCACTGGTAGGTGGGTATCATTGGCCTCCTTAAAGCTCTCTGCAAATCCCAGCCCAAAAAGAAAAATTATTGTAAAAGTGCAGCTTGGAGGAGGGGCGGGGTTAGATTCAGGGCTGATATAGCTGGCAAGAACAACAAAGTATAAGGAAATAGAAATATTATTTGGCATTTGTTTGAAAAAGTCTTATAAAATGCTAGCATGTGACCAGAGGATCTTTAGTTTCCTTAGCTATATGTAAGGGACGAGAAGAGAGCATCTGCCCTCTGCCTTCGAGGTCTCCTGTGACTAAGAAATTGCCATTTTACCAGCATCAGGGAGTTGTTCTTTTCTATACAATTAATCCTTTAAAATTTCTGAATGTGGTTTCCTTCATTGTTCAATATCTTTTAGTTAATAGCCATGACAGGGGATCAAGTCCCACATGAAAGCTTGTGCCCATGCTTAAAGACAGCACTACAGTTAAATACTATGGGGACTAGGAGACTGCTGCACCTCAGTGAGAGGGGAGCTCAGTTTAATTTCTGTCTCTGGATGTTGTCCAGATAAAAGTTCAATGTCATGTAGTGTTGCTGAAAACGAAGTGTAACTTACATTCCCCCTTAAACAAAAGAGGGACTGGTTCTTGCGGTTTCTAACAGGCAGGTGCCCTCACAGTCTCTGCTGTCTGGACATTCAGCTCCTTATTCTGTAAGACATCACAGCTGCAAAGGGCACCAACTCACCCTATTGTGTTTTTAAATGAACTTTCATCTGTTATCTACCCATGCAGAGAACACTGCTCCCCAGGCCATCAGGAAATCCGTCCCAGCATGTCTGCTCCTTCTCTATCTTATCCAACTCTTCCATAACAGGTAAGTCTGCCCTTTCTGCATTACAAAATGAAGATCCATAGTGGATAATGTTGATGTTGCTGAATTAGAAAGGCTCTCCTACCATTGTATGTGATGAGGAGTAAGGGAATAATTAAAAAAGATTTTTCAAAACCACAAGTCATCACCAGTTTAGTCATGTCCCATGGGGTTGACTGGCTAATGGGTGTAATAAATTCACAGTTTTTCTTCCTCTCTCCAACATCCAGTTCCATGGAGTTCTACCTAACGAAACAGAATTTATGGGTTGAAATACTGAGCCACGAATTCTTTTCCTTAAAGAATAGTTGTAGACAACTTTGTTACACTTTTTCTAGTGTCAGGGTGTTCTATGAATTTCATATGGTAAAACATTCATTGACCAGTGTAGGGATGTGAAGGACTAGTCGACAGTTATGGGTACATAACTGGCTGGATAACCATTCTCAGAGAGTAGTTAATAACAGTTCACAATCCTGCTGGAAGGGCATAACAAGTGGGGCTCTTACGGAACTGGTTCCATTCAATATCTTAATCAACTATTTAGATACTGGCATGGGGAGGACGCTTATTAAGTTTGAGGATGATACCAAGCTGGGAGGGGTTGCATCTGCTTTGGAGGACAGGGCCATAATTCAAAATGATCTGGACAAACTGAAGAAATGGTCTGAGGTAAATAGGATGAAGTTTAATAACGACAAATGCAAAGTGATCCACTTATGAAGGAACAATCAGTTTCACACATACAGAACGTCTAGGAAGGAGTACTGCAGAAAGGGATATAGGGGTCATAGTGGACCACGAGCTAAATATGAGCCAATAGTGTGACGCTGTTGCAAAAAAAGCAAACATTTGGGATGCATTAACAGGAGCGTTGAGCAAGACACATGAAGTCATTCTTCCACTCTACTCTGCACTTTTTTGGCCTCAATTGGAGTATTGTGTCCAATTCTGGGCACCACATTTCAAGAAAGTTGCGGAGAAATTTGAGAAGGTCCAGAGAAAACAACAAGAATGATGAAAGGTCTAAAGAACATGACCTATGAAGGAAGACTGAAGGAATTGGGCTTGTTTAGTTTGGAAAGGAGAAGACTGAGAGGGGACATGATAGCAGTTTTCAAGTATCTAAAAGGGTGTTAGAAGGAGGAGGGAGAAAAATTGTTCTCCTTGTCTTATCCTCAGAGGCCAAGAAGCAACGGGCTTAAACTGCAGCAAGGAAGGTTTAGGTTGACATTAGGAAAAACTTCCTACCTGTCAGGGTGGTTAAACATTGGAATAAATTGACTAGGGAGGTTGTGGAATCTCCATCTCTGGAGATATTTAAGTGCAGGTTAGATAGATTTCTATCAGGAACGGTCTAGACTGTACTGGGTCATGCCGTGAGGGCAGGGGACTAGACTCAATGAGCTCTCCAGGTCCCTTCCAGTTGTAGTGTTCTATGATTCTGTGACTATTCAATAAGCATGAGCTTATAGGATAGTCGACTAGTCATGCTGCCTTCCCCTTCCCCAATTTGCTGCCTCTATCAGAAAGAGGCAGCAAGCGGGGGGAGAGGTGGGAGTACTTCAAAGCAGCAGCCCCAGGTGGAGCCTGGGGCCAGACCCTGGCACTGCCACTTTGAAACAGTGTGTACAGCCCAGAGCCAACTGGGGTGTCCCCAGGCTGCATGAAGTGTTTCAAAGTGGCAGCACTGTGTGGAGCCCAGGATCAGCAGGGGACTTCCCAGCTGATCCTGGGCTCCATGCGGCATTGCTGCTTTGAAATGCCGCATGGATCCTGACCCCAGGCTCCATGCAACACTTTCGCCTTTGAAGTGTAGCAACAGCCGTAAGGTGGAGGCGCCTTATCAGCCAATCAAATAGTTGATGCAAAATGCATCAACTATTTGATTAGTCAATTACTCACAATTTAACATCCCTAGACCAGTGTTTTGTCTGCCATTTGGCCTTTCCCTCTGTCCTCTTCTTGCCTAGACCATTGCCCCAAGTTACTTTGCATCCCATTGGCATCTCAAAATCAGCATTAGAACCTCAAGCTTGTTTTAATTGAAAATAATGGCACGTAACTGTGGCTACATGCAGCATTGCCATTGCCTGGTCTTGCAATGAATTGCTGATGATTTGTGCTATTACTATTTGAAGTCTTTATTTCATCACTAATTTCAGTGTTAACTTAGTTTGGAAGCTTCTTAGAATTTACCCTGCCTCTTACTTGTTGGTATTGCTCCCACTTAACTGTGCTTTGGTTTGGTTTAAGGAGAAGGTCCAGTTTTGGCTGATTCTGAGATTTATTCAATTCTGCACTCTTTAGGGAGAGGGTCATTTCGGCCAATCCAGTCTTCACTGACTAAAGCTGCCGTTTCTCGACCCATTGTGCCCAAGGTTCTTCCAGCACAAGCTACCAACCATCTGTCCAGTAAGTCTGCTCTCCAAAAAGTGGTGTATTCTGTTTTTTGTAGGGGTGGGAACCTTTTGTGAGTTGAGGGCCGCTGGCCTACAGAAAAATGAGTCGGGGGCTGCATACCAGTGAGAAGCTCCTGACTAAGAAGGAGAAAGACACTCCCCTCATTCCCCTCGCACACCAGAGCCTAGAGGGGCCCAGACTAATAGATTTTGTACGCTCCAGTCCTGTGGGAGGGGGATCCCTGAGCCTCACGGGCCAGATCCAGGCAAGCCGGGGGACAGATGCGGTGAGGTTCTCCACCCCTGGTTTACTGCATTCAGGTATAAGCTGTTGGTGCCTTTGCTATAGGGAAGGGGAGTGGGCAGTGATGACACAGTTCAAACTAGCATCACATACCATGTCCAAATCCCAACACTTGGCAGGAGGATGTACCTATGGATTTGAACCAGACCCAACATCATGAACCCCCTGATCTTTGGGGAAAGTTAAAATACAAATGTGGTAGCTCAGGTTCAGCTCTGCATAAGTATATGTTACATTCTGTTCTAAGCCCTTTTGGTAAAAGGTGTTGTGACCTCTGACTAATAGAAGCCTAGTAAATCCTGTCTTGGAGGATATGGAATACTGGGCAGGGAGGGGAGATCACCAATCCCTCCTTTTCTACGCTACCCCAGAACAAAAGAACAGGTCACTTAATTAAATGAACTAGTAAAGTGAGGAAATGCAACCAGGAATCCTGTTCCGTATTATGAGCAGTTGTACTGGGGAATTCTCTGCCACAGAAAGACAGTCAAGTGTTGTGAAACAGCTGGATAAGCTTAAGTTCCCTAATACTGTGACCTGTGATAGTTAAAATTCAAAGCACAACCTTATCCTTCAGAGAATAAGCTGATCAGCTAATATGGAGAAATCTTCCTCCCTCATGCAGAATAACCAAGCTGGCCAGGTGCATTATGGGTTTTTCCTTCAAGAGAAATATCAAACCTAAGCTGCAGTCAGAAGCAAGATACTAGATGAGACTGTTGTGTTGGTTTTATAGCACCTCTCTCAAACAATAGGCACGTGCAAGAAATTACATGACCATCTGCATTACTGCAGAATTTAAAATCAGATGCTCCAATAGTTTCTGACATTTAAATACCACTAGGAACATTTGTGGAGAAAAATAGGGATGCCTCTTTTAAACTCCATTGAAATGCAGTACAATGCACTAGGAATGCCTTTAAGGAGGGAGAGCAGAAAAATGATAAATATGTTGCTAAAAATGCTGCCCCTCCTAAATATGGACACCAGCCCATCTTCAGGATCTGACCTAGTGTTAGCAATCCTGCATCTCTATGCTTATGTTAAGATTTAGCTACCTGGAATGATCCTCCTATAAAACTCTCTGGAGAGGAATTGAGATGGGCAGTCAATGAAAGAAAAAAATCTCTAATATCTTTTTCTCTCTATCTTACCAAAGGTGCTATTGACTTGGCAGCTAAAAGTGCTGGTATTATCCCTGGCAGCCCCCTGCCTGCTCTGGATTCTGAGGGCTTGTCAGGTGTGTCTCCGCTGTCACCAGACTGTGTGGCTGCAGTTGTCACGGGGCAGGAGTTGGATGGGGCAGATGAAAATGGAGGCTCCATCACCACAGTAGGGGTTCGTATCTCTCAAATAGACTGAAAGCTATGACAGCATCTTTGTTGTTTTGTGTAAAAAGCCAGCACCTGTATTAATTGTGAATCTGTGGTCATCTTCCTCGTGGGGCTTATTGGGTGGATGCACTTTTTAGAGCACGGCTAACCCAGGGTGGGTGGGTGGTGTTCAGGATGTGGTGGAGAGAATTCGGGAAAATAGGCACTGCTGTGTTGGAAATTAGGTTTCCATCCTGTAGGGAGGCTTGCAGTCATGAAATTTGAATTGTCACTCACTCCAGCAATCTAAAACCAAGAGGCCAGGCACCATTTGAGAAAGATGCATTGAGTACGGAATTGTGGGCAAAGCAAGAAAGTGCTGGTAGAGAGCAGCTTTCTCCTAATGTGACTGAATGTTGGATCTCCTGAGTGAGTGCCTGTGTTCTGGCTCCAGATGCATCGAGAGATCACCGCGTAAGTGGGAGTTGTGACAGCCCTTATTGTTTCCTTATCCATACCTAGAACAGGTGCCAGTGTTTACCACTATCCCAGGGAGATAGTGAGAGTGCTGTATCCCTGAGATCCCATCTTAGAAGTGAAGATTAGGGGCATATTGTGGCAAGGCTGAACAGATGTGTTTGTCTCTTGTAGCTTTGCTACGTTTGCTGTAGTTGCTGTATAAGTGTGACTCACGTAGTCCCTGTTGCACTTCTAGGGTTCAAGTAACGGGTGTCGGGTTCCTTTCGTTAATCTGCCCGCACAGCATGAGCAGGAGGTGGTCCCTGAGGGCTTCCAGGTACAGTATGAACTGATGAAAGAGCAGCTGGTGAAGCTTATAGCGGAGATATTCTTCACACAAGCATTATTTAAGGGTTCATATTCCAAGGCCTGCTTTTCTTCTTGTCCCTTTTTTTAACTATTCTTGTAGAAATAGCCTGCAGGTTATATAGCTCTTCCTACACTCCTCAGGGTAATGGTCTTTCTTGATTGTTACTGTGCTGGAATGGAAGTCTCACAGGTTGCTGTGGATAACTGCTTCTATTGTGATTTTATGCTGCTATGAGAGCAGAAGAGCTGAGTGAAACTGATAAGCACTGATCTCTGAAGAGCAAATAGATCTTGTTTAATGCCGTGCTTACACAGTGACTGTACAGTTGAGGAGTTCAGCAAGGCAGAAAAGTATCTTTATACTGCTCCAGTCTATTTTAAACATCTGAAGGGAAAGTAGACTCCAGGTACTGAAATAACTCAACTCCCGGGGGAATTCTGCACCAAAGAATTAAAAATGCTATGCACAATATTTTAAAATTCTGCATATTTTGTTAGAATAACAACATAATCAATCTAGTTGGTCTTTTATATTACCAGTCATTAAGTATGCCTGTAACAAAATACAAAATATTCCTCCAGTAAGTAGACAGTTAAAGAAATCCTTACAACCCCTCCATTCTTGTTTTTCTGTTACGTTTTGTTGTGTGCCCCTCAGTCTAGGTGTGTCACACATGCAGATGGGCACATCTTGGGGAAAAGCTCTGTCCTTCTGGTTTCAGACACCTACATCCCTTACTTCCCAGAGCCCACCCACAGGGCATTCTCCAAGCTAGACACCTTCACCCCTTACGCACCAGAGCCCAGGAATCCAGAGAGAGAAACAGCCTGATATTGGGTCCTAGGCTTGTATGGAGTTCCTGCACACTACCTACCTTCTTCAGAAGATGCTGGGAACCACAGCTGCCCTGAACCCTTCAGTCCTAACTCCTCTCCCATGGAAAGTGTTCTGTATTTGTGAGCTGGAGAGCCAGGTTCTGCTCGACACAGCAGCCCATAGTGGATGCCAGCAGTTATGCAGCATCAGTTCTATGGGGGGAAATGAAATTCTGCACAGAACATTAATTCTACGGAAATTCTGTATTATGCAGGGGTACAGAACTCCCCCAGTAGTAAAGTAGGCATTCTGGGAATGCCGTCACTGCATCACTGGAGAAACAATCTTATCCAACAACATGACGATGTTGATAATAGTACCAGTTGAGTGACCAATATCTCTTTAAGAGCAGCACTTTGTTTTGTGTCTGTCGTGGCTAACTGCAGAAGCAAGAACTTTATCGTGTTAATTTCATAACTTCAGACCAGACTGGCTAATGCATGAGATTGAGATCTTTTCAGGGACATGTATGGGAGCACTTGATGGTGGAACTCCAGTTATTTTAGAGGAAGAAGGTGGAGGGCTCACTATTGGACTAGACACTCCTGGCTGTGGAAGTCGTCCTCCCAATGTATATAAACCAGTGGGATGAGTAAAGGAGCTTGTACTTAGGGAAAAATTGCTACTTGAAATTCAGGGCATGGATCTTTTTATTTCCACGTATCAGGCTATGCTCTATTCCACTTACTTATTGTACTAACATGATTATTCCCATCCGTCTGGGTGTATGTTACTAAGGGGAAGCCACTCTGACGCTGGATCTAGATGTCGAGAAAAATAAGTCTTATTAAATCAGGGGTGGTCTTCAAGCAGCTGCATTTCTCAGCTGACAAAGCCTGATTCGGTATTCTGTTGTTACGAATGGTCTTGTAGAATAACCAGACTCCTCTTACTAACTCTCTTGCTGGTTACAGTTGTAGAAAAGTTTTGGAAGTGCTCTACTTGAAATCAGTTGCATCTGGGTGTGATGCAAAGACCAACTTTGTCAGGCTGTCGAGGGAGGGTATGGGCTGTGTAGTGGGATGGGAGTGCTTATGGGCTATCCTTCTGTGTGGTTTTAAATCTTTGATCCATGTCCAGAATATAGAACCTGCAGATCTTCCTAGTATTCTAGGAGTCTTCTACTTTGGTTTTATCCTGCTTTCTTTGCATCCAGCTGTTTTTCTTTCAACCCAATGCTCAAGATCTCTGCAATGCATGATCTCGCTGTTGTAACTTTTATAAGTGTCCAAGTTGTATGCAAACTAATGACTAGTCCATTCTCTGACTCTTACAGCAGGACACATCAGTCCTTTCTCTGTCAGAACTGTCCAAGACACCTCTCCAGAATGGTCTTTCTACCCCACCGCTTCTTCCATCACAGGCCTCCAGTACCCATCTGTCTCCTCCCAACGTCTCCGCTCTGCTGGATATCTCTCTGCCTGGACCACCTGAAGATGTGCTTTCTCAGGGAGAGCCTGCCTCGCAAATAAGTGACTCTATCATTGAAATCGCTATCAGCTCTGGTCAATACAGTAAGACTAAATCACGATAAAGTGTTCTCATTACTAAAGTTAGAAAAATGATATTAACTGCAGCATCTTCTGAATATCAGGAAAAACCCTTGTTAGGAGACATCTTCGTGGACTTGATATCCTTTGAGAAGTTAGATTGTGTAGTTCCCCTTTTTCTTAGTCTGTGCATTTTAAATATATGCTAATTTAAGTTAAGGTGTTGCTGGCCTAGCTAAGAGCTTTGGTAGCTTTCTGAACTTACTGAACAATTCTGCAGTAGCTTATTAAATAGTAAGGACCAAAATCTTTTCTCTCATCTCCCTGCTGAGTTCAGTGGTAGCTCTGTACACGTACATGAGGATGGAATATGGCCCTTTGCATATTATTCCTTAAGGCAGCCTTTTGGCCAGTGATACCAGGATTTTCATAGGAAATGATTTTTTAACGTAGACGATGTCTATGCTTATACCAGCACAGCTGTACCAATGCAACTGTGCCACTTGAAGAACACTCTTGTAGGTGTGTTGAGGCTAATAGGAGAGAGCTCTCCAGACAGCATAATAAAAGCCAGCTTAATGAGCGGTGATGGCTGTGTCAGCACAAGAGCATCTCCTGCAAACACAGCACTGTGCACACAAGCGCTTATGCTGGGAAAACTTATGTGCTCCGAGGTGTGTGTTTTCACACTGCTGAGCGACAAAAGTTTTGCCAACATAAGTGTTAGCATTATGGCCTGGCATTCTCATCCTGTCCTTCATTTAACACTACAGAGACATGGCCCCAGTAGTTTTATACAGTGACTTCCATGTGTAAAGAATTTCTTAAAAGTAATAAAGGGAACATTTATCCCCATTTCACATATAGGGAAGGGGGGGCACTGAGAGAGGTTCATTAAAGTGAAGTTTTGCTCTAAAATATTACTCCATAAAAATAATGTTCTGGTGTTTTATGTTAGACAGACACCTGCCAGGAGTGGTCTAGTTATTATGTAGCCTTGCCTTGAGGGCAGGGGACTGATTAGATGATCTGTTGAGGTCCCTTTAGTCCTGCACTTCTGATTCTGTGTTTGTGTCTCAGTATTTCCAGGCATAATTTGCTTAGTTTGCCAGAAAAAAAATTGTTTTAATTGTCAGGCCTGCAAATTGACCTTGAGATCTGAGACTGACTGGGTTCTGTGCATCGGCATCTTCATCAGTAATCCTTGAACTAAAAGGAATCTTGAGATGTCATCAAGTCTAGTCCCCTGCCCTCATGGCAGGACCAAGCTCCATCTAGACCATCCTTGACAGATGCCTGTCTAACCTGCTCTTAAAAATCTCTAATGATGGAGATTCCACAGCCTTCCTAGGCAATTCATTCCAATGCTTAACCACCCTGACAGGAAGTGTTTTCTTAACGTCCAACCTGAAACTCCCTTGTTGCAATTTGAACCCATTGCTTCTTATTCTATTGTCAGAAGTTGAGAATTTTTTCTCCCTCCTCCTTGTAAACACCTTTTAGGTATTTTAAAGCTATGTCATGTCCCCCTTCATCTTCTATTTTCAAGACTAAACACATCCAGTTCTTTCAGTCATCCCTCATAGGTCATTTTTCTGGACCTTTAATAATTTTTGTTGCTCTTCTCTGGACCTTTTCCGTTTTGTCCACATCTTTCCTGGAGTGTGGTGCCCAGAGCTGGACATAATACTCCAGTTGAGGTCTAATCAGCATAGAGTAGAGCGGAAGAATTACTTCTCATGTCTTCTTTACAACACTCCTCTTAATACATCCCAGAATTATGTTTGTGGCTTTTTGCTAGTGTCACACTGTTGACTCATATTTAGCTTGTGGTCCACTAGACTCCTACATCCCTTTCTGCAGTTCTCCTTCCAAGACAATCATTTCCCATTTTGTATGTGTGAAACTGATTGTTCCTTCCCAAGTGTAGCACTTTGCATTTGTCCTTGTTGAATTTCATCCTGTCTACCTCATACCATTTCTCCAGTTTGTCCAGCTCATTGTGACCCTATCCTCCAAAGCATTTGTAACCACTTCCAGATTGGAATCATCTGCAAACTTTATAAATGTACTCTCTATGCCCGTGGTCCCCAACACGGCGTTTGGGGGAGGGGAGGGAGAGAGCGCCGGCCCCGGGCGCGCGGCGCTTGGGAGAGAGCGCCAGCGCCGGCCCCGGGCGCGCTTGGGGGGGAGAGCGCCAGCGCCGGGCGCGCGGCGCTTGGGGGGGAGAGCGCCAGCGCCGGGCGCGCGGCGCTTGGGGGGGAGAGCGCCAGCGCCGGGCGCGCGGCGCTTGGGGGGGAGAGCGCCAGCGCCGGGCGCGCGGCGCTTGGGGGGGAGAGCGCCAGCGCCGGGCGCGCGGCGCTTGGGGGGGAGAGCGCCAGCGCCGGGCGCGCGGCGCTTGGGGGGGAGAGCGCCAGCGCCGGGCGCGCGGCGCTTGGGGGGGAGAGCGCCAGCGCCGGGCGCGCGGCGCTTGGGGGGGAGAGCGCCAGCGCCGGGCGCGCGGCGCTTGGGGGGGAGAGCGCCAGCGCCGGGCGCGCGGCGCTTGGGGGGGAGAGCGCCAGCGCCGGGCGCGCGGCGCTTGGGGGGGAGAGCGCCAGCGCCGGGCGCGCGGCGCTTGGGGGGGAGAGCCCCCTGGTGCCCGGCAACCCCAAATGGTTGGGGACCACTGCTCTATGCCATTATCTAAATTGTTGATGAAGATAAAGAACAGAACTGGTCCCAAAATTGATCCCTGAAGAACCCCATTTATCATGTTCTTCCAGGATGATTGTGCATCTGACAAAGTGTTTTTTACCCAGGAAAGCTTATACCCAAATAAATCTGCTAGTCTTTAAGGTTCTACAGAACTCCTAGTTTTTGCAGGCATTGACAGACTAACACGGCTGCCCCTCTGGGACCTGGGAACCATAACTGCTCTCTGGGAATGGTTATCCAACCAGTTATGCACACAGCTTATAGTAGCCCCATCTAGGTTGTATTTTCCTAGTTTATTAATGAGAAGGTCATGCAAGACTGTATCAATTGCTTTGCTAGTAAAGGTCAATGGGATTGCATAGTCTGACCTATAGAATCTTTAGAATCAGTAAGGTTGCAGAAGAAAGAAAAAGCCATTTCCCAGGATGGCTTTGTAGGATTGACCGTTTAAAAACATCCTTTTGCTGGTTAGCTGAGCAAATTTGATCTAGAAATGTTGATGTGTAATGAACATAAAGGCCCATCATATCACTCTTTCTCAGACTAATTTGAGTTGTCCAATACCCCACAAAAAGTCAGTGTCGGAGTACAAAACTCAAATTTTGGATATCGCAGATACCAGAATTGGGTTGTAAGGAGCCTAATAATATAACTGAGCTCTACTAAGCAAACTATGAAGTTGCAGCATGTATGGGCGGGGGGGAAAGCAGTTGTAAAACAAATCAATCACAATATCCCTCAGGACTAAGCACCTACCCAGTTCTTGGCTCATAAATAAATCTGACATTAACTCTACTTGTTCAGATTTGTCATTCACTTTTAAAGTGTTGCATTAGGTAGAATAATTATTTTGTTTCTCATTTGCGAATTTGTTTTATGTTGTGACAGTGTAAGTATCTAAAAATTATTCTTTACACAAAAAAATATACATTTTCAAAAATCATTGTCAATCTTAGGGAATATTTTTTTTTTTTAAGTTGTGGATCTGAATTCTGAGCAACTAAGTGTTCTTTTCCAGATGTCTGGCTAGCCCAGAAGCACATCAGAATCCTTTCATATTGGACATGTAGGAGAGGATTAGGTCTCCTGTTACCTGGCAGTCAATAATAGTATCCAGACACCTAATTATCCATAGTAGGATACAGCATCAAATGATCTTTCACACTGTGGTGAATCTGTGTCACTTAGCCAGTTGACCAATTGTCCTCTAAAGGCACTATATTTGCAGTTTGCTTGCAGTTTCTTTAAATGAGCATGGACAGTAGTTTCATCTTATCTCCTTTTCCCACAGAAATGTTGTCATACCTGGTCCAATTAAGTGTGAGCTAAATTAGGCCTTCCAGATCCCTGCCTTCGGTTATCAGTTTAAACTAGGGCTTTAAACTAGGTTCAGTGTGGGCAGGTGACCAAAGCCCACAGGTAAGTGAAAAACATGGAGACCTGGGAGATGGGTTAGAAATGGGAGGGAGCATGGGCTATAATAGCAGAGATAAAGGAGGGGGGCAAGGCAGAACTGGGGGGCAAAATCAAATCAGTATCTTGGATGCCTGTATACAAATGCAAGGAGTATGGGAAAGAAGCAGGAAGAACTTGAAGTGCTAATAAACAAACACAACTATGACATAGCTGGTATCACAGAAACTTGGTGGGATAATACACACAATTGCAATATTGGTATAGAAGGGTACAACTTGCTCAGGAAGGATAGGGAGAGGAAAAAAGGGAGGAGGTGTTGCCTTATATTACAAATGTATACACTTGGGCTGAAGTGGAGATGGACAAAGGAGACAGACTTGTTGAGAATCTCTGGGTTAGGTTAAAAGGGTTAAAAAAACAAGGGATCTACTACAGACCACCTACCCAGACAGAAGAGGTAGATGAGGCTTTTTTTAAACAACTAACAAAATCGTCTGAAGCACATGTATTGGTGGTGATGGGGCACTTCAACTATCTAGACATATGTTGGGAAACTAACACAGCAGGCACAGATTATTCATTAAGTTCTTGGACAGCATTGGAGACAATTTTTTATTTCAGAAGGTTGAGAAAGCTACTGGGGGAAAGCTGTTCTAGATTTGATTTTAACAAATAGGGAGGAACTGGTTGAAAATTTGAAAGTGGAAGGCAGCTTGGGTGAAATCGTGGAGTTCATGATTCTAAAGAATGGTAGAAGGGAGAACAGCAAAATAGAGATGATGGATTTCAGGAAAGTAGATTTTAGTAAACTCCAGAGAGCTAATAGGTAAGGTCCCATGGGAAGCAAGACTAAGAGGAAAAACAACTGAAGAGAATTGCAGTTTTTCAAAGGGACATTATTAAGGGCCCAAAAGCAAACTATTCCACTGCGTAGAAAAGATAGAAAGTATAGTAAGAGGCTAATTTGGCTTAACCAGGAGATCTTACAGAAGACTGGAAAAGGGCAAGCATAGTGCCCATCTATAAAAAGGGAAATAAGAACAACCCAGGAAACTACAGACCAGTCAGTTTAACTTCTGTGCCAGGAAAGATAATGGAGCAACTAATTAAGGAAATCATTTGCAAACAGCTAGAAGATAATAAGGTGGTAGGTAACATCCAGCATGGGTTTGTAAAGAAAAAAATCATGTCAAACCAATCTGATAGCTTTCTTTGATAGAATAACAATTCTTGTGGATAAGGGAGAAGTGGTGAACGTGGTATACCTACACTTTTAGTAAGGCATTTGATATGGTCTTGCATGACCTTCTTATCAATAAGCTAGGGAAATGCAATATAATAATAATAGAGATTGCCTATCTCCTAGAACTGGAAGGGACCTTGAAAGGTCATTGAGTCCAGTCCCCTGCTTTCACAGCAGGACCAAGTACCATCCCTGCAAATTTTTGCCCCAAATCCCCTCCTCAAGGATTGAGCTCACAACTCTGGGTTTAGCAGGCCAATGCTCAAACCACTGAGCTATCCCTCCCCAGTCTAGTTGGGGCTACTATAAGATGGGTGTATAACTGGCTAGATAGCCATTCTCAGAGTAGTTATTAACAGTTCACAATTGTGCTGGAAGGGCATAACGAGGAGTTCTGCAGGGGTCTGTTTTGGGACTGGTTCTGTTCAATATCTTCATCAGCAATTTAAATGAAGGCATAGAGAGTACGCTTATTAAGTTTGCAGAAGATACCGAGCTGGGAGGGGTTGCAACTGCTTTGGAGGATAGGGTCAAAATTCAAAAGGATCTGGACAAAATGGAGAAATGGTCTGAGGTAAACAGGATGAAGTTTAATAAGGACAAATGCAAAGTGCTCCTCTTAGGAAAGAATAATCCATTTCACACATACAGAGTGGGAAGCGATTGTCTAGGAAGGAGTCCTGCAGAGAGGGATTTAGGGATCATAGTGGACCACAAGCTAAATATGAGCCAGTAGTGTGACACTGTTGCAAAAAAAGCAAACATGATTCTGGAATGCATTAACAGGAGTGTTATGAGCAAGACCTGACGAGTAATTCTTGCACTCTACTCTGCTGATCAGGCCTGAGTTGGGGTATTGTGTCCAGTTCTGGGCACCACATTTCAGGAAAGATGTGAAAACATTGGAGAAGAGCAACAAAAGTTATTAACAGCCTAGAAAACATGAGTTATAAGGGAAGACTAAAAGAACTGGGCTTGTTTAGTTTAGAAAAGAAGACTGAGAAGGAAACATGATAGCAGTTTTCAAGTATCTAAAAGGGTGTTACGAGGAGGGAGAAATTTGTTCTCCTTGGCCTCTGAGGATAGAACAAGAAGCAATGGGCTTAAATTGCAGCATGGGAGGCTTAGGATGGACATTAACCACCCTGATAATTAGGAAGTGTTTCCTAAACACTGGAATACACTGCCTAGGGAGGTTGTGGAATCTCCATCACTGGAGAGATTTAAGAGCAGTTTGGTTCTAGTGTTCTAGGGGTGATCTAGATGGTGCAGGTTCTTCCATGAGTGCAGGGAACTGGATTTAATGGCCTCTCAAGGTCCCTTCCAGTTCTAGTGTTCTATGGTTCTATGATCACACTCTTCCATCAGGAAACTGCAATACACCAGAGCTAAATTCTTTTATCAGCCAGACAGTATCCTTAAAATTAGTTGATTTAGGATTAAACCGGGCTCCCCTTACTCATCTGAGTAGCGCCATTGTAGTTCAGAATAGTTTGGTGTAGGTTGATTCTCCGTACAGTGGCAGTGCTTCTAAGTATATTAGGTGGTGCCTGACCTCCAGTTGCATGAGAATGTGTTGAACACTCCAAGGTACTTGAAGTTGTCCTAGTAGCTTCACAGAACTGACCCAGTCAATGATTCATTGCATTGGTTTACAGGTGAAGGTGTTTCTCTCTCCCCTGCAAAACTGAATGGTAGTGACAGCTCCAAAAGTCTTCCATCCCCCTCCAGCAGTCCTCAGCAGAACTGGATTGCCTCTCCAAGCCATGATCCACAGTGGTACCCCAATGACTCTACCGACTCATCTCTCAGCAGCCTGTTTTGTAAGTGTCAGTACACAGACCTTTGAAGGAGGAAAGGTCCTTCCTTTTCTAAGGAGCTTCTCTTCATCTGTCCCCCAGTCCCTTGACTTGGAATGATTCCTTGAAGAGAGTAAACTAAGTAGGTCTTCAGAAGACTTTTTGCTTTGCTTTCCATCTTCCTCTCTAAAGACCTGTTATCCCTAGATGGCCTCAGTTTCATGCAGCCCAAATTAGGAACCCTGCTCCTGAAATAGAAGTTACTCAGCTGGCATGGGGCCACAGCATACACTCTGGAGCGAGTAACTGAAACGTTTTTGTAACCTGCTTGGTTTTGCAAGTCAGACCCATCTTTTAGGTTGAAACATTTTCAGTGTTCTGCTAAAACAGCAAAATGGTGCCACCAGGTCTTCTGTTTGAAGCTTATAAGTGTTGTTGTATACATAGTGCATAATTCTAATGAGGTGAGAGAATTATGGGGGTTTTTGAGTTAAAAATTATGTATGGCTAGTGTCTCCAGTGTTGTGTGTGTTTTCCCTCTTCTGGGCAGAGGTGGTTCCATTTGGCAGCCTGCTGATGCTGCTCCTGCTAGTGACTTATTATTTTGAGGAGGTAGAGGAGAGAGATGCTCTTAGATCTCTTGGTGCTAGGTTTCCATGTACCCCTTCTCCTACTCTTCAGATGTACAATTTCAATGCACTGACTTTGCATTTCCCTTCTGTAGCAAGTTTCATCTCCCCTGAAAAGGGCCGGAAAATGTTGCCGACTCCTGCTGGTACTGCCAGTGGCACTTCCTTATTGGGACCCAGCCTGCTGGATGGAAACTCACGGGATTCTTTTGTGTCTCGCTCTCTGGCAGACGTAGCAGAGGTATGTGGTCAGATCACATCAGTCTGTGTTTGCACTTAAATAATCACCATTTAATTTCACTTTTCAATAGTATTGTTCATGTTACTCATTATAACTCCCTGGGACACTTACAGAAGACACCAGGCTTACATGCAACAGAGCAGAGCAACTAGTTTACACAGTAGATGTAGAATGACCTGGTGGTATGTTCCACACAGCAGTTCATGTGGGACTCTTGTGAGCAACCTTATGACTCCTGCCTTGATGGAGATCAGGTCTGTTTTATAGATGCTATGCTCTTGACTCCTCTCATCCAGCTGTGCTCCACTGAGGTCCATAGAGCTGCAGCTGGTTGATGCTGACTCAGTATACATCCCTGACTATTATAACTATGCTCTGCTCTGGATAGGGAAGTGAGGGACTGAGTACCTTATGCCACTGCAACTTCCAGTCCAACTTTCTGTCCCTAAAGGTTTTGCCAGCTCTTGCTGGAGTGAATCAAGCCTCCAAAGCATGTTAACACAGAGCTTGTAGAATAGACTGCAACTGACCTAGTGCAGTCACCTGGTTAATGCAGTATGTGAGCTGTTACTTTAAGCAAGATGTCACAGGGTGGGGTGGGGGGTAGGAAGCCAGCCACCACAGTTTAATAACAGTCTTAACGAAAATATGGTTCTGAAAGGCCTGTTATCAAGGGCTATGGAGAGGGAAATCTTGTTTATGTCGAGAACAGGTACAGTGCAGGCAGAAGCTGTGAAGGCATACCTCCCCTCCCCATATCGCTCTGCCACTGTCCCTTGTTGCTGATCCAGAGGTTCAGTTGTCAAGGTTTCGTTGGGACGCCCCATTCCCTCTTAGGCTCTTGCTAAGGTGGCCACAAACATATAACTCTGGAATTTTTTGTAAGGTGGACACATCATTAAAATTGGATTGAGGCTAGTAGTTCATTTCATGGAGCCAGCAGGTAACTGCCAAGTTGAGCTGCATTGGAACAGATAAAATGGAGGTGAAGACCTTGTGTCTTCCTATGTGTCCCTGATCTCCGCTTGTATCATCTGACCCCTTAGCAGTCACAGACAAGTGTTACTCTCCAACCTAGATGAATGTGACAAACCTCTGCTGACCTGTGGGTTTCTTTCTTCATATCCATCTTCTAGGTTGTGGATTCCCAGCTGGCTTGCATGATGAATGAGAACAGCATAGATTACATCTCTCGTTTCAACGATCTTGCCCAGGAGCTATCAATACCTGAGCCAACTCGTAGGGAAATCCTCTTTGATGGAGGAGGCGGTGGCCCCCCAATTGGTGATCTCTCACAGTGAGCATAAGAGACCAGTAGGCTGGTGGAGACTGTTCATCTTAGTGGAACTTATTGTACTGGATTTGGGAGGCAAGTGGAGGATATGCAAATGATGTCCAAATGCCCTCAACCAGTGCCCACCTTTCTAGAAGAACAGCGTTGTCTTTAGAGGTCTGAACAAATATCTGCAAGTCCTAGAATGTGCAATACGTTGGGGAACAATGTGGAACATTATTACAGGGAGTGATGTGTCTGCATCAGTGATATGAGATGGTGAATAAATGAGTTTGAGATGGTCCGGGATTTGTACTTTGGCATGGCCTAGGCAAGAAGCTTAGGCAAGAATATGGCTGGAAACTTCTTCAATGTGAATCTTGTTTTTTGCATGATGATCAGCTTCCCATGATTTGCAATCCATGTTGAGACTGAGGGGTGGAGGGAGACCGAAATCCTCCTCCTATTCGCATTCTGAAACATCCTGCTCTGCACGATTGTCATATCAGTCAAACTGAAGTTTCTTGCACTCCCCTGAAAGGCACCATTATTCTGCAATGCTGGTGTTGCCATTTTATACATTGTTTCTTTGGCTACTCCTTGTTTTATGAACATTCCAGACAGGTAGATGCCTGCATTCTTGTTTTTTTGTTTTTTGTAAATCCTACTCTGTCACAGCCACCATTCTTCTGATTGTATCTACTCTTTTTAGCAGGCTGACAGTATTTTTCATTGCATTGGACAGTGACACACACACACACCACCACCTATGAGAGTGTTTTCCCTAAAGAGATGGTTACTTATCAAGAGAGGAAACATTGCAGAAAGGAGTCTCCCTGGAATCACTCTTAAATCTTTGTCTTGGTAGTTTTTTGTTAGGAAACCCATATATCCCCATCTTTCTCCACATAAACCAGATCAATCATCTCATTGAGGATTCTTATGGGCAGTGAGATACAAAAGAATAATGTTCATTTAAAGGTACAAATATTTTAAAACTCAGATTGTTGAAATCCATCTTGCCATGCAAATGAGGAGGAGAGGTATCCAGTCTCAACTTCAACTGAACTCTCCACTCTGTCCTTGCCTAGCTAATTCTGGGTGCTCGGTAGTACCCCAGAACATCGTTTCTCACTGTCGTCCCTCTCTGGCACTGTTATATGTTTCTGTTGTATTGCATTTTAATGCCTGAAAGACCCAGGTCCTGATTTCAGCACGTCCAAAGGAGTTCTAGTAACGTTACTTCCTTTACAGTTGGCTTTTCTTTTTCTTCTAATTGCTCAGGATACTTCCTTCTTCCAGATCTTTTCCCATCAGTCTTAAGAAGGATACTTTTACTTGCTTGTGTTTAAAGCATTTATCTGTACCCCCCAGTAAAAAGATTCATCTTGACTATTTTAAGTAGCTCTGAAGCTGTCGTAGGAGTCAGTCCTATATAAACCTCAAACTTTTATATTTTTTTACACAAACACACGGACACACACACACACTGTGTGTATATGAAAAACACACAAACCGTCTATCCTTAAGGCCATTACGAGGGCTTCTTTTTCTTAAAATGCACTATGCTCTGGATGTGGCTTTACTTACTTACTCCTACAAAACATTTGACTGGGAGTCTTGTGACTGTGTTGCCCACAAAGCACTGGTTGGATATACAGTGTTCCCTGTCGTTTTACCCTTACCCCGTTAGACTTTTTTTATATTGGTTGGTATTTTCTTTGCCTTGTGCTTTAAGATAAAATTTAACCAGTTTTCTGATGATCATACTTGATGATCCAGAACAGGATTTTTTATCTCCTTCTCTAATGGGTGGCAAGATTTGGAGGACACTTGTTTGGTTCATGTTGCAGGATGCCTGGTGTCTGGTTGCTTCATTCTCCTCTTGGATGTGGGAGCCACCTGCCCAGTTAGACACAACATTGGTATAACTGGGTATTCCTTCAGGGACTCACATCTACATTACTAGCAAGCCATGGGTCAGCACGCTAAGAGGGGACAGTTTTCATATTAATAAGCTAATTCCCTGCTTTAGCTTTGGGTCACCTGGAACCTATCCTCTCAGAATATGTATTCCAGAAGCCATTCACAAATTGTAGGGCTTCTCACAGTTCTAGAATACAAGCATATTTGAGGTTTCCAGACAAACATACACTTAGTCATGCATATTTATTTCTGAAGGGTTCACACTTGGTAGAAACTAGTATTTCCATTAATTATACTGTTTTAATCTTTCCAGTGATTATTGTAGTTCAGATGTCTTTCAGTCCAGTCTTTCTTAAAGCACCAATTCCTAGTTTTGACTACCCACATTAGTAGTTCTGTCTGTTTTCTCCAGAAATACTTCTGCTAACCCATGTTAGCAAAACTGAGGCTTCCTAGTATAGATGGATTATAATGGATTATCTAAACATAGTAACATTTAGAAGGACACATGACAAGTTTTAGTCAGATGCAACAAATCTGAATCTCTAGTTGGTTTTCATTTCTTAAATGGTGAGAGGTTAGCCTTATGCTGGCAAATATATTTGATTACTGCAGTCTTCCTCCATGTCCCCAAAACAGCTATTGATAATAGGATTTCACCCAGATCTGTTTATGAGTCTGTCACCAGAATGCAGGGAGCTGTCTGTAGCCCATATGCCTTGCTACAAGAAAAACAACCATTAGAGAAAGAAGCTCATATAGTGGGTATTGCTTATAATCTATGAAGCCAGCACATTTTAATATTCTGACCTTCTCAAGACAGAACAGGAGTGCTAGGTGGTAGGTAGGGAGGCAGATGCATAGAATAGGCAGAGCCATCATTCAGCACCCAGAAATTCTATGGTAAAAATTTGGTTAACCTTTTAAAAAATTCTTATAAACACATATTTGAACATCCTCTACTTTCTCCATGGCCACCTCCTTCCCTCCCCTCTTTCTGATATTTCCAGTGTACAGAATATTCCCACCTGCTCTATCTGATCTCTGATTCAGGAATGTTGGATACCCTGTGTATTACATTATAATAGCAAAACCCAACTAAATCGAAGTTTCTCGTTTCAAAGTTTTCCCTGATGAAAAACTTGGATATAATGATAAATTCAGATCAATACAGACATTAGTAACTTGGCAAAATTGCTTTGTAGCACACAGTGGAAGAAGGCTTTCTGTAGGAATTGGCAGATTGCTAGCAGATGCCCCAGAGTATGCTGGACTTCTTCAGGTTCAAAGTAGGAAAATAAAATTTGAATTGTGCTGTATCAGAACAACTTTGGTGACTATAATCTTCTCCAGAACAGATGTTCAAGTGACTTGCTAGTCAACTGCAAGCAGGATTGTTTCAGGCAAGTAACACTTATCTTCAGACCTGTACAAGGCACTGTGAGGAGGCTGGAGGTGAGAATGGACATTGAAAACCTCCATTTTTTTTGTGTTAGTTCCTAGAAAGCTTGTGCTCTGACTGAGCGTTTAGGGTCTTTCTTTTTAACTTCAGTTGTTTGGGTGCCAAGTCTATGAGCGTACATGAAATGATGTAACTGGCTTCCTTATATTCCCCTAAGGGAATATAAACATAAATTTGTCATCGTAATCTGGGTATAAAGCAATACTACAGCCACCTCTTTCTGCGTGTTGTGTACTTAGTGATGGGCCAGCTACTAGAGTGTTAGATTCTGCTCAGCCAAACAATTCATTCTGTCCTTTTATCACTAAATCCACCAAGCATAGGAATTTTAATTGGTTTTTAAAATGGCATCGTTTAACTTTTCCTTGGCACCCTCCTTATTTATATTTCTAAATTAAATTATATAGCTTGGACCACACCTAATCTGCCAGGAAAGCTCCTCTACTGACTCTGCCAATCCCGCAGTGGAAATTACTGTTGCATTTTTTTACACTCAAAATTCCAATGCATTTATAAGGAAAGTGCTGCACTTTTTAAACCTTTTCAACCTTTAAATCTCCTGAGTTCACAATGGTTTATAAATATTAAATAAGTGAAACCTTGGCAAGCACTACGGCAATAAGTTATCATTTGTTACTGGAACATGATAACTGGCTTTAGAGCTTTTGGTTTGGCAGCAAAATTTATTGCTGTTTCTTTTAATAATAGTTAAGCCATATCATCTAAGGTTTTTGGCTTGTTTGAGATGTGAATTTGTTTTATAGATTATAAATATACATATATAGTGTATGTATAAAGCAGAATGACTGTCCCTACTGATTATTTTTTGTATCATATTGTAAATTATATTATTTATTCTTTACCAATTTTGGAAAAAGGTGTTTTGTTTATTTAATATAATATACAAAAGCTGTTAAACTTCTGTTTAAATTTCCAATTCAACTTGTAAAGCTGTTTTTATTGTGCATAAATACATACTAATACTTGGTCTAACAGGTGTTCAGATATTTGTTACATGTACAGTTTCTGCCTTGTAGTCTATTAAGGTTTTTTGAGTTTTTAACAGTATTTACTTTGTAGTGACTGGTGCTCCCATTAGGGTTATAGCCACACTTTATATCCATGTCTAGCCACAGCTCATTTTTGCGAATATGGATGCAGCTACAAATTTTGTGTCTAGAACCCTGCAAATGTGAAGATACCTGCAGATATAAAGTAGATATCTGTGGCTCATTTTTGCAGATGCAGATACAAATTTTGTATCCGTGCAAGGTAGATAGGCTCTACCCATTGGAGACAATGTAATTGAGATTTGTCCTCAAAATTTAAATTCTTGGGGTGAATTCCTGGCTCCATTGAAGTGAAATTCCTATTGATTTTGGTGTGGCTACAATTTTTCACCCCTTCTGTCTAGAAGATCAGGATGAGATCAGTATCTTACAACTCCCCTCCCCACTCTCATCAGTCTTAGCAACATTGGTCCTTACCTGAGTTATATGGACAACTAGAGGCTTCAAGGAGCCGTCTGGTCACATAATCCTGTCCCCTTTTTCCAGCTGCTCTACATCATAGTTGAAAGTTACCTTCATACTATTACTTTTCCTACATATAAGCAATCGTTGTAGTTGCCCTGTGGTGATAAACAAAGCTGGATAAATGAGAGAGGTGGTGGAATGTTCAGCTGGAAAAGGGAGTAGGTCAAGTATCTGGATCACTAAGGGTTCATCTAGACTGAGGAATTTAGGTAAATTAATCCAGATTAAATAAAGTTGTAAATCTAAAGTACATTCATTCAGTGACATTAACAGTTGTGTAGGCACTCATTTGGAATTACAATGGTCTTAATTTGGTTTAGTTAATTCACAGGAATTAAGTTGAACTGAATTAAAAGGATTTTAATGTCAGGCGAGTGTCCATGTAGAGTCTTAATGTGGTTTAACGTGGTTAATTTGGAATAATTTTCCTGCCTGTCCCAGTATAAAAGTACCTTAAGATACATTCCATTCTACAAAAAAGTTCAAACTCCCTATAACACATTTCTTGTTGCTCTTAACCCTAGTCATTCTTATATTCTTAATGTCATGCCTGTACTTATTCAGTTTTACAGTTTAGAGTCCTGCAATTGAGGTATTTGGTTTTGTGCCATCTGAACAAAACTTCCAAAAGCTCTAGATTTGATTTTTTTTTGAGGAGGGGCAGGGGGAAGGAGTGGCAGAGAATATAAATAAAACCTAATAATTTTGTATTTTTTGTTAATACTTCTTTTTCTTCCAAAGAAGCCCCTCCATTACGTATTACAGAGAAAGAAGAGAAGAGGGATAGCTATCTTTAAGGTAGTGTGTCATAAACCATGAAGCCTGTGTAGTAAGTGAACCTGAATGTTGTTTTACAATGGAGAAAAATAACAAAAGCCTAGGGCAGTGCTCAGGAAGATGAGGACGGAAGATCTTCCATTAAAGTGATCCCCAGGTACAAGCTTTCATCAAAACTTCTTCTAGTATCTTAGCAACAAAATTGCCTGTGATTTATTGCCTAGATACAATTACATTTTATGAAACAAGGTTCCTTGTGACAGTTATTCTCCTGCCAACACTGTCAAATGCTGCTTACAAAAGCAGTGATAGGATTGAACTTTTAAGCCTGTGATCATCTAATGGCCAGAGAAAAACTTAGTCTAAGCTGCAACTGAAGGAATTCTAGGTATGCCTTTTTGGTGTGCATTTAGGGTGAGTAGGTAAGGAGGATCTTTCAGTGGATTTGCTCTTGACATTTGTGGGGGGAGGCAGCAGAGTGCTTCTAAAACTATTCTTTACAGTAACTCAATCTTGGGCTACGTCTACACTGGCCCCTTTTCCGGAAGGGGCATGTAAATTTCACTAGTCGTCGTAGGGAAATCCGCGGGGGATTTAAATATCCCCCGCGGCATTTAAATAAAAATGTCCGCCGCTTTTTTCCGGCTTTTAAAAAAGCCGGAAAAGAGCGTCTAGACTGGCCCCGATCCTCCGGAAAAAGCGCCCTTTTCCGGAGGCTCTTATTCCTACTTTGAATAAGCGATCCTCCGGAAAAAGTGCCCTTTTCCGGAGGCTCTTATTCCTACTTCAAAGTAGGCGGCGGACATTTTTATTTAAATGCCGCGGGGGATATTTAAATCCCCCGCGGATTTCCCTACGACGACTAGTGAAATTTACATGCCCCTTCCGGAAAAGGGGCCAGTGTAGACGTAGCCTTGGAGTTCCCCTCTGCTGTTTCACTTCACTTTTTTCACCTGACAAGTGGAAGGAAGATCCTATGTTTTGTAGGAAGGCCTCTTCTCTGTAAGAACTAATTGATGAAAGTTGATCACCGTGCAACCCATTTTAGCACAAATTTGCTTAATCTCTTTTATGCATCACTATAATGTATATGGGGGATCTAATGTACATCACAAAAGGCATGTCTGAATTTGGCCATAAGACCACTGGCTTCTTGTATTTTGGTGGAATCAGAAGAAAGGCATTTACAATCCAATTTGCATTCAGCATGAACTATACTGCACCAAGCCCTGGTATACATTAGCAAGACTATCAGTCCACAAGCTGATCAAGTACATTCTACCAGAGCAATGTACAGCCAAGCCTAAGCTCATTTTTCCACCTCAGTTGTTTTCTCCACCATCTTGCTTGTGACCCAGGCTTGACTCCTTTACTCCCTATGTCAAAGATGAGACCAAATCTTGTCATGCCTTCCTTCATTTCTGTCCTTACCACCTACATTGCGTGAGGCTAGCATGATAGGAGCAGGGGATGCAGTAAGTCAGGACTGAAGTGCAATGTCAGGACTGGAAGAGGGACAGATATAGAGGCTGTTGCAGATATAGGGAGTGTGTAGTTCATTTTCTCCTTCCCTCCAAAATAAATGTAGCAATTGGACAGCTTATGAATTCATTTCTTGAAATATATTGTTTACAAAGGTCCTCAACTACATTTAAACTACTGTAATTTAACATCCAGCCAAATGTGGGGGTTTTGGTTAAAAATGCAGTGCAAGCCTTGGCTTCCTGAACTTTCATGAGCTCATTGGAGCCTGGCTAGAGAGCCTCTGGAAACTGACAGTCTGGCTACTTCTGTTTTAAAGCTGTGTCTGCTGAAGCCCAGAGTATCCTACCATTCTGCTGTTTTCTTAAAATTGGAGGTACAATGAGCAGCTTGGTCACGCTGCATGTCTCCATCCCTAGAGGTGTTTAAGTCTGGGCTTGACAAAGCCCTGGCCGAGTTGATTTAGTTGGGATTGGTCCTGCCTAGAGCAGGGGGCTGGACTTGATGACCTTCTGAGGTCTCTTCCAGCTCTGGTTCTATGATTCTAAGGCCTATCACCTCCACAAACTGCATCAGTATTAAAAACTACGAGAGGTACAATCCACTCCATTTCCAGGGATGTTGGTATGACCATGTTACTTCTTGGCAAAACTTGAATGAAGGTTGTATGATTTCTGAATCCGAGGCCAGAGATGAGCTCATCAAGCCCTAATTATTAATAAATATTAATCTTTATCCAATGTTCTCTCTCCTTCCTCCCTGTTTTCCCTCACATTTAGTGTTCCAGAGACAAGAGAAAAAATGTAATGGCATAGTTTGCACTCTTTATAAGTTACTAGAAGACTTATCTGGCATTGCTCAGGTCCTTCAGGGCAGAGGGCTGCTGGTGTGGGGTGGGTTCAGGAGTCAGGGGCTTGGGGAAGTGAGATGCTCAGGGTAGAGGGCTGGTGGGGGTGCAATTGTCAGGGTTGGGGGTTGAGTGGTGCAGGGTGTGGAGGTACAGGAGTCAGGGCAGGGGGGTTGGGAGGAGCGGGGTTCAGGGAAGATGGGGGATGGCCGCCAGCTGCTCCCTGGAGGTGGCGGGGGCCATGTTGCCAGCTAGTGGCTGCTTGCTGGGGCACTTGCGGACCCCTCCTCCCCGTGGTCATTTGTGGGTGTAACTGTACCACAGAGCACCCAGAATTACCTAGGGATGTAAGCGACTAGTCGACTATCCGATCAGCAAAAGCTGAGCGGATAGTCAACACACTAGTCAGCTAGTTGCTTTCCCCTCCCCCGCAGCAAGGGGGAGGGATGAGGAAGAGGGTGCAGGAGGGAGCCAGCTTAAAAGCTGGTTCCCCACAGCTCCAGCTCTGTGGGAGGGGACAGGGACACAGCAGCGGCCAACTTTGAAATGTTGGGGCTCTTGTACATTTCAAAGGCGGAATGCGGAAGTTCTTATCGACTAGTCGACTTGCTTTAAATTATGATAAGAGGAACCTGCATACCAACTTTGATGGTCCTAGGTCTTAACCATTTAGGAGGAATTCTTGAACAAACGGACTCTCGGACAAACAGATGCATATTTATAAAATATATAGTAAGATAAGAACTGCTTAGTTTTGCATGGAGTCTACTGATTTGAGAAGCTCTTTCCAGGAAGCCACGGGCGGCAGCATCTAGCTTGCATTAAATGGAGCCAATTCCAGATGATATTAATGTGCAGTTCCACTCTCAAAAGTGACTATCAATTCTTCTTTGAGGAGTGTCCCTGTGGGTGTTCCACTGTAGGAGTTTGTCTCCTGCACTTATAATCAAGATTTCCAGTAGTGGTACTCTGCATGGTGATGTGCGTACCGTGCTGTCTTTCACCTCTGCCAGGGGTAACAGACAAACATCCTCAACCATCCCTCAATTCCTTCTCTGCCACCTTTGGTGTATGTCAGAATGCAGCAACTCTCCTTTGCTACATATTTCCAGATAAAATTTCCTTATTCCCCAGGTCTTTTGTTAACCCTTTTCCCCTCATGGGATTTCCACCATGCCAGACTCTCCAGATTTTAAAAAATGCCGCCCTTGCAGGCTCTCGATACCAATATCAGGTGGCTGTGGTGCCTTGCAGGTCTTCATGTTCCACAAAAATGCCCTAATGGTAAAAAGCACCCCCAGCACCAAAGGAACCTTCCTTGCAAACTTATGTGCTGGTACCGACAACGGCACCAAGCATCTCTGTACTGAGGCCACTTACTTCCCATGCGGCCTCTGCCATATCCTTAGTACCAAGCACTCCGCTTTTCGGTACCAACGATACTCCTATGTATCAAGGGCCTAGCAGACTAATAACACTGACTAGCCCTGTCCTGCCCTTTTCAAGTGATGAAGATGACAACAAGATCTGCTTCTCGCCCCATCATTCACTCCTCAAACCTATTACACAGCCTCAACCACTTCAGGTGCCAGGAAAAGTCTGGCAGCCTTCCCATGGATGCTGCCTATTCCCCTTCCTACTGTTTGGCCAGGCTGAGATCCAGGGGCCCTCAATAGAATGCAACTATCTGCTACTTCACAGGCAATGGATCCCCAGAGGCAAGAACTGTGCTCTGGATACACCCCAAGAGGACAGAGGGCTTGGAGAATGTACAAGAGGACAATAGCATATTTCCTACACACCTGTCATCACCAGCTGAGACTATAATGCCCACACCCTGTACTACAGGAGATAACTTCAAATCCTTCTAAGACCTATTCAAAAGGGGACATGTCTCTGGCAGAGCTGCCTAAAACACAGCATAAACTGACATCCTGAAGGCCTCCCCTTCTTCAAAACTTGCCCTGCCACTAAATGAGGTGAGCAACTGCCTCTTTCTTTACTCAGAAATTGTTCTCCTGTGTATTTGTAAAACCTTGGTATTGGTTTGTATAGGGTGATATTTTAAGAAGTGAAGCTGCCTCAATACAAAGTTCTGCTCAACTTCTGCAGCCAGGATTTCTGTGCCTCTCTACAGAACGTTCCGTTGCACCCCAGCCTTCTCTCTTTGGAATGCAACATATTCAGTCCTTTCTGGTGCCTTTGCTATGGGAAGGAGGTGGGCAGCCCTCGGTGGAGAAAGAACAGGTTCTTCTTCAAGTAGTGTCCCCAAGGGTGCTCCACTGTAGGTGTCGGGCTTGTCTTGGTGCTGCAGATCAGAGATTTTTCAGCAGTGGTCTGCCAGACCGCACATGCACATCACCAGGGCTCACCGAGCTGCAGCGAGCCCCGCCCGCCAGCCGCACTGTCCAGCGATCTGCGCATGCCCAAACCCGGCTCTTCCGGGTTGTAATCTACTTGCCATGGTCGAGTAGATTACATAGTTTGTCAAGCCCTGTGCATCACTCATGCACCCATTTCTTAGAGTGGGCGGTCCAGCTCCTGCCAGTTCCTCCTAACCATCCTTGGGTCACAAACTGAGTGAGCTTCTTCTCCTCAGATCCTGTCAAATGTTAAATTACTTCTTAGTTAGATAGTTGTTGTTCTCTTAATAGTTCTTAGTTAAGTTTAGCAGTAAGGTCAACAGTTTTACAGTGTTTTAAAAAAAACAACTATTTATAGATAGATATGGATAGAAAGAAAACAGGCAACCATGCTGGGATTGACAGGTTTCAAAAAATGTGACTCCTGCAGGGAGCCCATGCCTGCGTTGGATGGGCACTCCTATTTGTATACGATGTCTTGGGGACATCGAGTCTGAGGAAGGTCAGCTCTCGGACCATAAGCAGCTACAGGAGCTTTCGCCAACTGATCCATCCTCGTCCTCATCTGACAGAGGTGGTAATCCCTGGGGACTCATCACCATCCGATGAGCTCCGTCAATTCCAGGACCTTTTTCAACAAGTGGCGGACTGTCAGGAGGTCCAGTTCACTGAGCTACAACACCGACTTTAAAAAAAATCTACAGCCATCCCAAAAAAGTCCAAAGAGCCTCGTCAAGGGGCACGGCAAATCTTAGAAGGGGTGGATGATATATGGCAGACTCAAG